CCCACCACTTGTAAGCAGCTTTTTCCTCTTCCACATTCTGCGAAGAGGGATTAAGAGCGTTAACTGACTGCTTCTTGCATAAGATCTCATATGCCTCCTTAGCTTTCTTCGAAAGATTACCCAATCTATTATTTGGCAAAGAACGAATTCAAGGTTTGAGAGCCTTAAGTTTCTTTGCGAACTGGAACATGGAAGAGGTAGAAGAAAAAATAGGTTGAGTATTACCCCAGAAAGTTTCCATCATTGGTAGAAACTCGGCTAACTCAGTAACAGCATTCACAAACTTGAACGGCTTTTTTCTTTTTTCCAGTTCTGCCTCCAGCTGAAACCGACACTGCAAGTGGTCTGAGCATCCACCCGCCTCAAAAATACTGTACGAAAGCGGAAAAGCTTGATCCCATCTGATGTTCTTTAGAACTCGATCAAGTTTCTTCGAAGTTAGACCCACATCTCTTCTGTTACACCATGTAAAAAGTGGACCGTGATAAGCCATATCCTCCAACTGGCAATCGTTTACTAGACTCTGGAAATCTCTCATTCCCATGGGAATAATAGGAGAGTACTCGTAGTGAGAATCATCCGCCTCAAGAACCTTATTAAAATCTCCCAAGCAGACCCACGGCTTGTTATTAATGATTGGTGAATTATGGTGATCTCTAATATCACTCCATAGTTTACGATGCTCATCCGCAAAATTTGAAGCATAGATAAATGAGCAGAAGAACTCCTCATCTATATCCTCAAGCCGCATCTTGGAGCTCCACATCACTCAGATACGGCCAAGACTACTAAACTCGGAGTTTGTAATAATCGACCGATCCCGACAAACTGACGCAGCCACATGCAACGCCTTGTCCTCTTATACTTTAGTTTCCAACAAAGCACCAAACTGAAAATCCTGATTCTGTATCCACCTGCGAAGAATGGAATGCTTAGAAGATTTGTTTAAGCCACGAACATTCCACACAAAACCCGACATTTATTGTTTGTTGGACTTTGGGATCCTTTTGCCCGCAATGTTAGATCGTGAGTCTCTAATACTAGTAGCAGCTTGGTCTACCAAAGGGTTATTGGCTGTTTTGGATGCACGAGGTACAGGAGAACGAGTTCCAAGTCCGCTTTATCCTTTTGCTTCAACTTTTCAGTCTGACTGACACCAGACTCCTCGAAAGAGTGAGAAAAAGAGACTGGTTTATCCTTCGTCTACAACTCATCTGACGAGGCTGCATCAGTTTCCTAGTCCTTAGTCCCCGCTAAGACCAGAAAACGTGATGGAGAAACAAATACATCTTCTACTCCCTGTCGATCCGATTGTCTGCTAGTCTTTTTTGGAGAGCACCATTCCCCTTCCTCTTTCTCATTGCTTTCCTCGACTAGAATATCTCGGTCTGAAACTTTCTCTGAGACATTTTGAAAAACTGGAACAATGTTAGTGCTAACATTCGTCTCCTTCTCCACTGGTGGAGATACAGCAGTTGTTTCCTTGTTTCCCTGATTTGCAGGCGACAAAGATTTAGCAGTATCTGTTGTCCTTTTGAGAATGGTCTTCGGTTCATTCTTTTTTCATACAGGCATCCCGTAAGTGACCCCATTTCGAACAGAAAGAGCACCGTGGAGGAAGCCATGGGTACTCAAATTCCACCACCGAGTCAATACCCTTCTCCGAAGTGAACCGAAATTGTAATGGGAGATCCTTTGATAAGTCTATGTCAACAAAAACTTTTGCCTCATCGAAACTGTTACAGATTTCAGTGTCTGGGTGAAGACGTTTCGGGACCCCTACAGCACTTGCAAGAAACCCCAAACCTTTTTCATGGAACAGCTTATGTGGTACGTTTTTTCAGGCAGACGCACAACGGCATGGACTTGATCTCTGGTTGAGCTTCCTCCTCCACCGGAGACCATTTAGAAACTATCATTGGAACATTTGCCATATTCCACATTCCCCTTCTTAGAATCCAGTTGTGAGTAGAAGGGTCACGGATTTTAAACTTTATTGTTGTCTGGTCGACAACGAAAACATCTACTTTAGATGAGTTGGATCCAAGCGGCCAGATTTTGTTCACGATTACGTGAACTTTCGCGACATGAGGAGCGGTTGAGAGGAGTTTACGGATAAGAATTTTCTCCCAAAGAGGAGCAGATCCTTCAATGATATCGTCCGGAATACCCACTGTAGGAGATCCCTCGACCATCGAGATCGTTAGATCATGTTTCAAGAGATCCGATTTCTTCTGAACAATAGCTGAAAAAAGAGGTTTTGATGGTTACTGAGAGACCACTTCCGCCGCCATCACATCATCGCTGGAAGCAGAAGCTTCGGAAGCTTAAAGGGGATGTGGAGGAGCCGTTGATTCCGCCGGAGCCGCCATCCTTGCGGCCGAAGTAAAGTTGAAAACACAGAAAACCTAGTCGCTTTTCAAGTCGCCACGCCACGTCAGCAGAGCACTTAATTTTCTTTTTGTGTCTTTTATTAATTACTCCTTTAGAATGAGTATCTCTTAAACATGTTTTCTCTAGAATAATTACTTAATACTAGATTTTAACATGCATATCATCAGATCTAACATCAAAATTTAAACTACAGGTTCCAGAATACTTATCTAGACATAAACCTTATTGGACAATCTATTTTTTTTACCAAATTAATTTAGAATTAATTAACAAATATACTTTAATTATCAAACAGAAATTGAACATAATGCTTTGATACCAACGGTTGGTTTTGTTTTTATACAAACCACAAAACACATCAGTCTCTGATTAATAAGAACGTATGCGGAAGCGGAAGCGTACCTGATAAATATGTGTTAGATCTATTAGATCTCCCAAAGCAAATTATGTTAGGTGATGGGGATGCATAGAATTTCTGTGTTCGAGTTGCTTTAGGGATCATAACCTTCTTTATTTATAGAAAACATTTTCTAATTTGGCTCTTCATCAAATTAGAAATTATTGAATGTATCTACACTTAATTTTCTCATGATTTTAATCATTAACTTTATTCTGAAGTGACCATTTAAAATTTGACTAATTAAAATAATGGCTATAGTACATAATTAATACATAATGAGACTAAAATAGATCTTAAACTTCATATTTGGTCTACTCATATCATATATTTGAGACAACAAAATTAGTTCTTAAAGTATTGATGGATCCGGTACCAAATAATAAATTTTTGGATATGAAGAATCCGGATCAAGGTATCCTTAAATTACAAGGTAATTTTGCCCACCACTAGCAAGATCTTCAATACTCATATTATTTATTTGAGACCAACATTTTATTGTATCACATGTAATTTTTATCAAGTGTAATTTTATAAATAAATGATTTTAAGAACATTAAAAAATTTTTTATCTCTGTTCTAAGTTAAACGAATTTGAAATTTACAATTAAGCTTTTGATTTTAACAAAAGCGTTAAAAAAATCTTTCTGAAGTATGTAAATAAGAAATCGAAAATCCTAATCATATCTAGATATCATAATTGTTGAAAAAAACCGACATTTCATTAGAGATATATATTTCATTTATTTTTTTTTTACTTTTTCTTAAATTTTTACTAAATTTTGGTTTTATAAAATTATAAAAATCAATAATCCTATAAACATAAGAAATCATAAACACTATAATAATTAGCAATATTCTAGAAAAACAATTTTTTTTTTGAAACAACATTCTAAATTTTGTTCCAATTTTTTTTATATTTCAACATTATAGTTAGATTTTTTCTAAATTTCAGAAACATAAGAAATGGTAAACTTCTAGTTTTTTGTGTTTAAAAAAAAACGTTTTTGTCTAATTTTTTCTAAATTTTGGTTTAATATAAATTTAAAAACGGTTTGATTGACTACGAAATTAAACATTAAACCATAATAATTTAGACCGGTTAATTTGTTTGTTTTAAAAAAAACGTTTTTGTTTAATTTTTTATAAATTTTGGTTTAATATAATTTTTAAAACGATTTGATTTGACATCAAAATTAACATTTAACCACAATAATTTAGACCGGTTTGTTTTAAGTTTTTTTTTTACACGTCATCAGATAAGAACAAATCAAAAAATGACACGTAATTAGAAAATAGGGTTAAACGGTCTTTTTCCAGCCAAAACTCATTATAAAGCTGACATGTAAGCGAAAGATTCTAAAACTCGCTCTTAACGCGACACTTAAGCAAATCATTACATTAATAAGTATATTTTTTGTGTTTTAAAAAAAAACATTTTTGTCTAATTTTTTCTAAATTTTGGTTTAATATAAATTTAAAAATGGTTTGATTGACTTCGGAATTAAGCATTAAACCATAATAATTTAGACCGGTTAATTTTTTGTTTTAAAAAAAAACATTTTTGTCTAATTTTTTATATATTTGGTTTAATATAACTTTTAAAACGGTTTGATTTGACAGCAAAATTAACATTTAACCACAATAATTTAGACCGGTTTGTTTTAAGTTTTTTTTTTACACGTCATCAGATAAGAATGAATCAAAAAATGACATGTAATTAGAAAATATGGCTAAACGGTCTTTTTCCAGCCGAAACTCATTTTATAGAGCTGACACGTAAGCGAAAGATTCTAAAACTTGCTCTTAACGCGACACCTAAGCAAATCACTACATTAATAAGTATATAGATAAGGCTCTAAGATATAAAATAATATCATCTAATAATCCTAATTAAAACTCAAGTTCTTTTGTTCTAAATTAGAAATCAAAGCCTCCCTAAATAAACCACTTGCTTCTTTTCTTCATGTATACATGTTATGTCAACAAGGAAAAACAAAAGGCCTACTTTGACTATTATATTGTAGTTTAGTCAAATACCGTTGCATTTAAAATGCGTCATTTTACACATTAATTATTCATACAGTTGGCTCACGCAGTTTATTCAGGCTTTCAAAGCTGACTTTGAATTTTTCTCAATTTTACGTGTTCATATCCAACCATCTACTACAATATAAAACACAGCTAAGAGATTCACAAATCCATAAAGACAAATATTCGACCAACGAGAAAAAGAAGGATAGAGAGAGAAATTATGTTTCAATCTCCAAGCAAGAAGAGATGGAACGTTTCATCATCAGCTTCATCTTATAGAGAGACAATAGTACTTGGAAGATACAGCAAGAGTTGCAGAGAGCAGAAGCAACAACGAAGAAGACGAACATCTATGGGGGAGAGACTCTTGCCAAAGTGGAAAGTTCTGTTGAGGAAACTCAAGTTGTTGCCTTCTCCTTCTTCTTCTTCTGCCATAAAGGTCGTGGCTTATGAACTTTACGATTACTCTTTGAATTTCGATCAAGGGCCAGGATGGCACGATCACGATGAGCCCGAGAATCTTGCTAGGTCTTTTTCTTCTCGGTTCGCTGATCCTTCCCGGATGCGAGCCACACGCTTGCTCTTGTATTAAGTTTACTTTTCTTATTCTTTCCATCAATTTTTTGTTTGTTTTTTTGGGCACTTAGCACTGTACAAAAAGAAAAAAATGGCGCTTAGCATTGTAAAAAATGAAAAAATTGTTAATGCAGTTTCTTATATAACCATAAACCATCACATATACAAAATTTTAGATATTTATGTCCGTTGTATACGTTTTTAAGTATAAACCATGACGTATGTGATGTTTACCATATGTCGAACTTTATAGTTCAAAGTTCAAACAAAAACAAGTTTCATGAAAATTGGATAAGTGAATCAAAGTAAGTGTGTTTGATTCTATTTACAATAGCAATATCTAAAATAGAATCGTATTCTATATAGTATGAGTCCATATATATATATCTAACACAATATAGAAAAAATAGACTATTTGGTAAAATGTAAAGATTATACTAGTTAATTCGTCCACGCCTCGCGTGGATTATATATGTCTACCACCTATATATGTCTATCAAGTGTAATTTTATAAATAAATGATTTTAGTAACAATAATTCTTTTTTATCTCTGTTCTATGTTAGGCGAATCCGAAATTTACAAATAAGCTTTTGATTTTAAAAAGGGGTTAAAAAATCTTTCTGAAATATATAGACAAGAAATCAAAAATTCTACTCTAGAAATCATAATTAAAGACATTTCATTAGACATACAGATTTTATTTATTGCTTTCTTTATTTTTTACTTTTTTCTTAGATTTTTACGAAATTTTAGTTTTATAAAAATTATAAAAATCAAAAACCCTATAAACCTAAGAAATCGTAAACACTATAATTAGCAAGATTTTAGCATAATTTTTTTTTTTTGAAACGACATTCTAAATTTTATTCCAATTTTTGTTTCTTTAAACATTTTAGTTAGATTTTTTCTAAATTTCGAAAACATAAGAAATGGTAAATTTCTAGTTTTTTTTGTTTTAAAAAGAACGTTTTTGTCTATTTTTTTTAAAAAAATTGGTTTAATATAAATTTAAAAACGGTTTGAATGAAAAAGAAGGAAGAAGTTTAACAATTGTGAAAGTTGTGAGAGAAGTAGTGAAAATTGGCTTATATTGATGGGGTTTTTGCTAAAAATAACCCAAAACTTGATTTTGAATACAAAAGTATACCCCTGAAAAAACATTTAGCAGATATAACCTACAGGGGTAGTGAAAAGACCATTTAATCCTGTATGAGTAAGCAAAAAACGGATGTCCTAATTACCGTTTTCTCCTTGACGAAGTCTACTAAAGTAAAACTGAAGTCTACTAGTACACTTCATTTGATAAAATGAAGTCTACTAAGTAATTAAATCTGTAAATTTAATTTAAAAATTTATAAAAAATTATTTTGGTATGAAATTTACCATCATAAATTCCGTAATCGTAACCCAAATGCAAAAAAATTATTTTTTCACATTGGTAAATGGAAATGTATGTTTTTAAATTAAGTAGAAGTAAATTTATTATTTAGGTTTTAAAAGTTGTAGACTTCGATATTGAAGTCTACTAAATCGTAAAAATTAACCTAACGGACATTTAACCGAGATTAAACCGGGAATAACTTCCTTTAACCAAGAGAAACTGCCCTTAACCGGGTAAATTAACCTAGACCCCGGAAAATTAGCAACTTTAACCGGAAAAAACTTACCCGAACCGTACGGAATTACCAGACTATATATACGAATTACAGATCCCGTTAAAAAAAAACCGTCGAAAAGTTCGTGTAAAAAAAAAAAACTCGAAGGCGATTTCCGTTTCTCTGCTCCGGCGCCGTCGACATTCAGAACTGCCGCCGATAAACTCGTTCAGGCAAGTTTTCTTTCTCCAACCACACCCCCATGCTTCCCTACTCCTCTGTATTCATCACCGTTCCGTTTTCTAAACCCCCATTTTCCAGATCTGAAATTAGGGTTTTTCTTTTTTTGCAGATTTGCTTTCGCCGTTGGAGGTTAAAGTAATTACCTGCCTCAAAACGGTTAGTAGATGTTGTTCCAAAGTTATATACTTAGCAATTCTTAAATTTCTTCTATCTTCCTGTAATTTTTGTTCCGTCGGGTTTGAATTAGGTTTTTTTACCAGATCTGGTTGTATTTTCTCGGCACCAGCTGCATCTAATAAAGGCGGTAACACTCTAAACTTTGTAGATTGACTTCATATACAGTATTTATCATGTATTGATTGCTTCGGTTGGGTTCTGTAGACTTCATATGTAGTATTTATGATGTTTTGATTGCTTCATATACTGTTTTTTTAATGTTAAGATTGCTTCGGTTGGCTTCAGTAGACTTCGCGACTCGGATTGTACTTAGAATGTGAAAGTAGACTTCATTTTGTGAAAGTAGACTTCATTTTGTGAAAGTAGACTTCATTTAGTGAAAGTAGACTTCTCTTTGTGAAAGTAGACTTCTTTTACTGAAAGTAGACTTCACATATTGGGAAAGTAGACTTCATTTTGGGAAAGTAGACTTCATTTTGGGAAAGTAGACTTCATTTTGATAAAGTAGACTTCATTTTGAAAATGTAGACTTCATTCGGGTATAGTTTCAAACCGTTACTAGTTTTTCTCATTAGAGCTTTGTTACCGTTGATGCAGGAATCTTTGTTAGATAATGGCCTCTGAATTCCCCAGAAGACTTTACACCAAAGAGTTTGAGCCAGTCCCGGATAAAAGCATCGGCTATTACGCTGATGATTATAGGCTGGTCCCTGCACTAAAGTCAGCTCTAGAGGAGGATGAATGGGAAGAGATTTACGAGTCACCGTTGGGTGTCTTTTTAAAGTTCCACGAGTTGGATTTTGGTTGGGCTTCTAGGCTGGTGCACCACATGCTGACCTTTCAGATAGTTTGCAAGCAGAGGTACGAGATATGGAGCCTCATTGGTACCACTCCAATTCGGTTTTCATTGCATGAGTTTGAGGAGATCACCGGACTCAACTGCGGGTACGTGGATGACTTGGCTTTAACTGATCTTGCGCTTGAAGATGACACGCGTGCATTTTGGGAGCTAATGGGGGTCGATGCCGAGTTGGGCCCAAGCACTACCGAAATTATTGAAGCCTGTTCCAACTGCTCATCATGGTCTCGTGATGATAGGATGCGGTTGGGTTATCTTGGGATCTACGCTGGTTTCATAGTGGCAACGAGACCCGGCTCATCCACAAATGTCAACCATGCCAGACTAGTGATGGATCTCGAAGGTTTTAAGGAGTTTCCATGGTGAAGAATTGCTTTTCAGCATTTGATTAATTCTGTTAAGGAGAAAGATCTCAGCAAAAACATTCATATAGAAGGATTTGTGCAAGCTCTTCAAGTGTGGGTGTACTATGCTCTACCGGATTTTGCTGCTGAATTTGGCGAACCATTGCCAAATGTTACTGAAGAACCTCTTTTGCTGGCTTACAAAGGATCCAGAGGATGAAAGAACGTCAAAGCCAACATGCTAAAACAGGTACTGTATTAGTGTAGTAGACTTCTATGTAGTAATGAGTTTCCAATGTAGACTTCAGAAGTAGACTTCATGTGTAGACTTCTATATGTATAATTAATAGTGTTTGACATTCAGGTGTAGACTTCTGTGTTAGACTTCAGGAGTAGACTTCATTGTTAGACTTCAGGAGTAGACTTCATACGTAGTTTTCTGAGGCTTCATATGGCCCAAAATCCATTTATTAATTGTGTTTTTCTAGGCTCGCATACAGTGCTGCGTGGCTAAGGACTTGGCGGATATGTTTCCCGTGTGGGATGATGACGAACAGGATCCAGATATTGTCAAGATTGTCAATGCACTCCATGACCCCAATTTCAAGTTCTCAAAAAACCATTGGCCTTTGGAAGGTGTTTTGGGTGCACACATCATCAAGTCAGAAGCCGGAAAGAGGAGCCTTCCCTCAGATGAATCAAGTAGCAAGAGATCCCGCACAGCCTCTGCATCTGCCGCATCATTCGTTGGTGATGAAGGGGTCGGAGTTGTCGCTACTATGAAAGCGCACTTCGACCAATGCTTCAAAAGCTTTTCAACCAAGATGCTGAATGGTCTTGGTAGCTGTGAAAAGCAGATCAAACTTCTCACCGAGAAGGTTGAATCTGTAGAGCGTGCGGTAGAAGAGTTGACTACGGGGTCGGCGAAGCACACTGAGGAAGAGCCAACCCAGCAGCAGGGCACTGGATCCAAGAAGCATGAAGGGGTTAGTTCCAAAAACCCTCCGCCTATACGAAAACATTACATGTGAACAAGATCACACAAAGTTAGGAACACTTAATACTAATGTCATTTGAATTCGAACATGTTTACTACTGTTATGTACCATGTGAGATTATTTACTTATGTTTCAAAACTTGTTGCTTACAATTTTCAGACTATGATAAAACATGTTACTAAATTATAGCATTGGTGTACTCATTTGTATATTTATGCATGTTTCTGACAATAAACGGCAGAGTAATTCAGAGAAAGATGATGCTCCGATGAAAGCTAATGTCAACGTTGGTGCGTGTGAGAGTGTTAACGCCCCCGAGGATGCAAAAGGAAAGAAGGCTGCCGTGAATGAAGAAGAGACCCCAGAGCCTAGTATTTGTGAAATTGACCCGAAGACGTGTGATGTAGACTTCGACGCGGTTGCACTTGCCAAAAATGCCAAAGCCAGAGAAGCGGCTCAGCTAGTTACCCGAGCAACGAGTGCCCGACACCGCCAGCTGGCTGCAACACAGAAGAGTCCCTTCTTAGGAAACAGCACCGCAAAGGCCATCATTCCATCGTCGGCATCTCACTCCGGCCGTGCCCGTGGATATGATCCTTTTGATCAAACCGGTGTCAGGGCGAAGCATACCACTCTAATGAACTTTATCAAATCAAACCCGTAAGTAGACTTCTATACGTATGTAAGTAGACTTCCTCATAGTATTTTTTCCTTTCTAACTCTTTCACTTGTACAGTGCCTGGCCAAAACGCCCAAGAAACTCTTCGATCGATTGGTATTACATTCTCCGGACACCGACGAAATGGCTAGCTGATACGGTTAGTGTTTTACTTTCTCATAGTAGACTTCGTGGTTAGACTTCTTCCGTAGACTTCTTCCGTAGACTTCTTCCGTAGACTTCTATAATAGACTTCGTTTGCAGACTTCACTCATT